TGTGAAGTTCGCACGGCAAACTTGGTAATTCCAGCGTTTGTGCCGCTGCATGTGCTCTCAAGGGAGGGCCTTCTTGCAAGACCAGAGCCATTGGCGTCGCCGAGGGAAAGAAGTGTCCCTCTACTTTTGCGCGTGAGTGCAGCCTGGACTTCGTGTGCTGGGTTAGCCGAAGCTACTGACTTCAAGTTGGTAGCGGAGCCTCTGAACGGCGTTCCGGGGGCCGGAAACCCCCACTGCATCCCACTCCTTCCTCCTCTTCGTCTTCAAGGAGAATTATGGGCGGCGGACGATGTTCCCAGCAGGGCAAGGGCAGCGGCGCTATGGACGCCCCGCAGTCCACTGCCGCGCCGGAGGTCGTCAGGGACAATTACATCCCCATCTTCGACGGCCAGCCGGCAAGCTATCGGGAGTACCGAATGCGGGTCAACCTGTACTATAAGAAGATGGCCCTCACCAACAAGAAGACGGAGGCCACGATTAACTTGTTGACCAGCCTTGCTGGACCTGTCTGGAAGCAAGTGGAGCACCTGGCTGATTCGGCCCCGGACCAGGAGGACGGCTTCGAGGCGATCCTTAAGGAACTGGACCGGGTCTACCAATACGCGAGATGCCCAAGGCCTTTGAAAAGTTCTTCTACGGGCTATCTCGACCAGCCGGCCAGACACTCATCCACTATTGCTCCAGCCACCGTGAAGCCGCCCGAGAGTTGGAGAAGCACGACGTGAAGTTGCCTGATGCGGTGGGCGGCTGGCTTTTGCTGCGCCGAGCCTCGCTCTCGCAGGAGCAGCGACAGCTGGTCCTGAGCCAGCTGGACAACAAGAAGCTCAGTGTGGCGGCTGTGGAGCAGTCGCTTTTCTACTTGTTTGGCCAAGACTATAAGGGCTCAAGGACCGAATCCCATCGACCAACTGGCCGAGGACGCGGCTACAGCCACACCTACCGCTGGCAACCATCGAGGACCCAATACGCCTACTCCGCTGAGGATGAAGAAGCCCCCGACTACCCAGAGCCGGAGTATGCCGACGAGGCGGACTACGGCTATTACGAAGACGACCCCAAAGGCTATGACGAGACAGAGGAGCACGAGGCCCCTACAGAGGACTTTGCCGAGACCACCTACTACGGCCTGGATGATGATGACGAGGAAACCGAAGAGGCCTATGCTGCCTACCTCGACGCCCGGCGACGCCTAGCCGAGGTGAAGGCATCCCGGGGATACTACCCCGTGGTGGCTGTGGTGGACCAGTCAGGTCCTGGATCACAATTGCCAATCGCAGCCACGCCGGGACCCTCGAAAGGCAAAGCTGGAAAAGGCCGAGGCGGCAAGACAAAGTCGAAGGGAGGACCGAAGGGACAGTCCCAACGCCCACCAGTCCCCCCTACAAAAGGGAGAGCCCGTGCTGATGCCACCCGGTGCCTACGATGCGGCCAACTTGGCCATTGGGCAGCGCAGTGCCCGCGACCTCCTCCGGCGAATCCGACTTCCCCCGGCGGCTCGCCCACCAAGCGGCAGAAGGGCGAGGCTATGATGGCGGGAAGCCGGAGCGACTTGCGAGCTGCTACGGTCGGCCGTGTTGTGGGATTGCAAGATGGAGGCGCCTCCTCAATGGTGGGAGGCCACGGCTTCATGATGGATGTGGTGCAAGCTTTTGTCCAACAAGACTTTCCTGTTTGGAGGGGACAACCGGTCGGTTGCAGATTGGTGTGTCCACCTGCCTGTTTGGGTCGGAGGAATCCACGGCCGCATCCAGTGTTTCCTGGTGTCTGGCGAGATGCCTGTGCTCATCGGGCGCCCCATCCTCAAAGCCCTCAAGGTCAAGATGGACTATGACCACGACAAGGTCTCCATCATGGGCGAGCCTTGGACTGAGGCGCTTGTTGGACCCAAGGGCGAGTACCTTCTCGCCTTGGATGATGGCCTCAGCCCGGACACCCTGGACACGGAGTACGCCTTCGACTATGTTACGGACGACTGTGTGGACAACTTCGTCAACCAGACCACCCTCCTCGACATGGACACCTACCTCCGCGAGACAGGGAGAACCGGACCTGCGTTCCTAGATGAAGGCACCATGGCCGCTACACTTGTGGACACCCAGGAGCAGGAGAGCAACGTCTACCCGCAGACCTCAGCCAGCGGCCTTGCTCCAGCGGTGGAGTGCGCCCTTCCTCCCAACATCTGGAAAAGCATCGGCTATGGCATAAACCGGTGCCGGAACCAGCTGGACCACATCTTGGAAGCGGCCTACCGCGCCGCAGAGACCACCCACGCTATGTTCTGGGAGGTCTACAGCGGGTCTGGGAATCTCGCTGCCGCCATGGCTGCTCGAGGCTTTCAGGTGCGGACCTTTGATTTGCCAGACTGGGATTTCGAGAAGCCCCGCTGCTGCAGGGAGTTCATGGAGCTCCTGGATGCTGAGATGCCACACGTGGTGTGGCTGGCCCCGCCGTGTACACCATGGTCCCCGCTCCAGAACATGAACGTCCGCACCGACCAGGACCACGAGCTGCTTGAGGCCACCCGGGACTATCACCACCATACGCACCTCAAGTTCACTCGCAGGGTGTTTCTTCGCATGTCCCAGTATGGTATTGTGGTGCTGGAGCACCCGCTCAGCTCCAGAGCCTGGACTACACCCGCCTTCCACGACCTTGGGCTTCCTGTTCATGTGGACCAGTGCGCGCTTGGGGCCACCCTTCCCAATCTCCATGGCATAGACACGCCGATCAAGAAGGCCACCAAGCTCGTCACCAACTACCGTCTCCTCACCGAGACGCTAGGGGCCTACAGGTGCCCCACCAGGCGCTGATTGGGCAGTGTGCCCGCCTGGGCTCTCGTGCGAAGGCAGCCGCCACCTACCAACCAGGTATGTGCGAGCGAATAGCCGAGTGTCTGGAGGGCGCCTACTACGCCTACTTCGTCTACGGCGGTAGTGCTACTGAGGAAGCCCTCCCAGCTTCCGACGTGGACATGGAGGAATATGATCCCTCCGATGGGGATCCACCTGAGGACGATGACCTCTACCCGCGGACGGCTGCGGAAGCACCAGAGCTGCAGGAGTTGGACCTGCCTACGTCACAGGACATGGAGGCCGAGCGACAGTTCGGACGCGGAAGGCGGAAGCCTGCCACATCATCGACTACCACCCAAGCGAAGGAAACAGCCACCTCCCAGGCACCTCCTATCGAGCTACCTGGCCCTGTACCTACAGCCACGCGACCTACTGGCTGCCTCAAGAAGCTCGAGTGCAACACCGCCGCGGAAGCGACCAGGATTGTGGCCCGAATTCACCGAAACATGGGGCATCCGAACAACAAGGACCTCAGCACCGTGCTGGCGCAAAGCGGTGCCAGCCGCATGGTCTATGAGGCGGCACAGAAGTACCAGTGCCCGACGTGCAAGAAGCTGGCCCCGCCAGCCCAGGTGCCGAAGTCCACCCTCCGGACCACATATCGGTTCAACGAGCGCCTCCTAGCGGACACTATTTGGCTTCAAGTCCTGGACAAGACCCTCCCGGTCATCACCATGATGGACGCTGCTACCCGTTTCCTGGCAGCACGCTACGTCAACCGGGAGACCACCAGTGAGTTTCTCATTGCCCTTCAGCGAGGGTGGATACGTACGTTTGGGCCCCCGACCTCTCTCTTTGTGGACAGCCACAGGTCATGGGGCAGCGATGAGATGATGCAGTTCACTACGGAACACGGCATTGAGCTCATCATTTCCCCGGGCGAGGCCCACGAGAGGTTAGCACAACTGGAGCGACGACATCAAGTTCTGAGAAGGGCTGTTGAGCTCTATTTGGAGGACAACCCTCCTACGGGATCGGGCCCAGAGTCCCTCATCGAGGCCCTCACCTTCGTTGTCCCCCAGCTCAACCAGAGCCTTTCAGTTGGTGGCTTCAGCCCCACACAATGGGTTTTGGGCTACCAGCCGACGGTTCCCGGTAGCCTTCTCGACTCCAACGTCAACTACAGCCACCTTGACCCGAGCACCGCCTTCCACTACAAGATGGAATGTCGAGTCCGAGCCGCCACTGCCGTGGTGAAGGCTGACAATGACCTTCGTCTGCGTCGAGCTTTGTTGCGACAGCATCGAGGGGAACCTCCCAAACTATTGGTTGGACAACGCTGTTTCTACTGGCGGGAAGCAGCCGGACCGGGCCCTCGCATCCGATGGAAGGGCCCTGCTACAGTGGTGCTTGTGGAGTCCCAACGAGGGCCGCACACTCCACCGACCGTATACTGGCTGGTGCGTGGAACCGCCCTCATTCGCGCCGCTCCGGAACATGTTCGCCCAGACCTGGAGAATGCCACCCTGGCCGCGGACACCCCTGCCCTTCATGCGCTGGTCAGGAAAGTGCAAAACCGCGGCACTACCGTTTATGTCGATCTCTTCCGCACGAACCGGAAACGTCGACGAGAAGACATTGCCGACACCGACCCGGAGGACACCGACCATGAGGGCGACAACCCGCCGGACAATCCGCCTCCGCCACCCCCGGGGCCTGCAATCCCGGCGCCACCGCCCTCTGCGAGCCCGTTGGACGTGACGCCGACCCCGGAGTTGCCCAGCATGTTGGATTCCGCCGAGCTCCCCTCGCCGGTGTCTACTACCCCTACATTGCGCTCTCCCGGCGGCACTTTTCGTCCTCGTGGACCTCCTCCCCCCCAGCCTCTTGCTGGTGGCCCACCAGCCGCTGCACCGTCACCTACCTCTACAGCACACGAGGACGATGACGACCTGGTGCTGGCGGAGGCCGAGGACCCTGACAGTGAGGAAGACGGCGACGATGATCCGGATGTGGACCCGGATACTGACGATGAGGATGGAGGTGAGGGTGGAGCGGATGGCACCAGCTCGACAACGGCCCCGTCAACATCGGACCGACCAGGCTCGGTGACTGGAGCCAGTTCGTCCACTCCTCCGTCGAACACAGAGAACAGGTCTCCAGGGGAAGGCACACAACATCGACTACATCCCATCTTCGAGGCCGGAGCCAATGAGACCTTCAATCAGAAGAGAGCCCGGCTAGATCGAAGCGAAACCATCAGCTATGGTCCTCCCCCACGTCCTCCAGTGGTACACCCGGTGTTCAAGGCACCACCGTTTGAGACGTTCAATCAGAGGAGAGCCCGTCTAGATCGGAGCGAAACCATCAGCTATGGTCCACAACCCCCACCAGCCGGGGAACGTCCACAGCCGTATCCAGACCAGGGTCCCACTACAGAGCATGGGTTTACAGTGGATGTCCTCGACCACGAGACAGACGCTGACACCCCTTGTCATTGCCTGCCCGAAGGTTGGGTCATCGACGAGCATGGCTATATGGTGCTGGAGGAGATCTACGACACCTGGGAGATCAAAGGCGCCAACCTGATCAGGCACCACTACGTGGCGCGGAACACGCTCTTCCATCCCCAGGAGACAGGCGACTGCCCGATTCCCGTCAGCATGCTCACCAAGGTCCGACAATCCTACCAGGGTGGCCGCTGCCATCAGGATCGATGGCGGAACTCCAAAGAGAAGGAAGGCATCTGGTGGACTGGACGCACCGTGTTCAAGATTGCCACCCGGGATCGCCACATGGCCCAGACCGCGTTCTACACCAGCACCGGTGGCGCCCCAACCTACGGAGGGCCTAAGGAGAAGAGACAGAAAGACGCCAAAACGCTGAACGAACGCGCTCTCAGCTTGGCGGATAGGCTGGCGTTCATTGATGCGAAAAGAAAAGAACTGGGCTCGTTTTTCACGAACTCCGTTTGGGAGTTTGGGACGGAGTCCGAGGCACCGCCAGGACGCATCCTGAAGGCCCACTTTATATTGAAGTGGTCCAAGAATCCAGATGGGACTCCAAGGGCTAAGGCGCGACTCATCATCCAGGGATTCCGGGACCCAGATGCTTTGGCTGGACTGGTTGATTCTACGTCGCCCACCCTGTCCAGGTTGGGCCGGACCACCCTCTTCAGCCTCACCACCTTGAAGCAGTGGTCCACGTTTGTGGCAGATGTTTCCACGGCCTTTCTACAAGGCCGGGAACACGCCCCCTCGAGAACTTTGTGGGTCAGACTACCCGCGGACGCCCGCCAGCTTTTGGGCGTCACCGACCCCAAGGTCTGCATGAGGCTGCGAAAGCCAATGTACGGGCTATGCGACGCTCCCAGAGCGTGGTATGACGAAGCATCACGGAGGTTGGAGCAAGCGGGATTCACCAAACATCCGCTAGATGCTTGTCTCTTTCTGTACTTCGCCCCGGACCTACGATGCGCCGTCGGCCTCCATGTGGACGATCTACTTGGAACGTCTTCCCCCGACAACAAGGACTTCATCAAGAAGAGCCTCATGGAGCTCTTCTCATTCAGGAACTACCTCGAGGACCAAGACGAGTTCGAGTTTCTCGGTGTGAGCGTCAAGAAGGAGACCCACGGTGGACACAGCTGCGGCCACGACAACTACCTGGCCAAGCTCAAGCCCATCACTTTGGATAAGGGACGCATGGCCGATCCCGAAAGCCCTGCTTCGGACAAGGAGCGAACACAGTTACGAGCTCTCTTGGGAGCTCTTCAGTGGGCGGCCACACAGACCTCCCCGCATCTACAGACGATGACCTCCATGTTGGCAGGAGAAGTTCCCAGGCCAAGATTTCCACAATCCTTGCGGCGAACAAGGTGTTGAGGTTTGCCAAGGCCAACAGCGATGTGCGCCTCCAGTATGCCCCCTTGGGAGCCACCGTCGAGGAAGTGACTTTTGTGGCCTACTCCGACGCTGCCTTTGCCAGCCGCACAGACCTCTCAAGCCAGGGAGGGTACATGATCTGCCTCTCACCTCGTACGGTTCTGGAAGGGACAGTGTGCGGCTACCACCTGCTAGACTGGAGCAGGCGGCCTCGGAGGCCGCTGACTGCCTACACTTCGCAGTCGTCTTTTGGAAGGCCATGCTGGACCCGGAGTTCCGAATCAGCGAGGTCAAGCCCGAGACCTACCGATGGGGGAGCCCCTGTGCTCTGATCGTGGATGCGAAGTGCCTCTACGACCTCCTGCATCGCGAAGAGCTCTACGTTTCTACAGCGGCGGACAAGCGGACCTGCCTGGAAGCTCTTACGACCCGAGACAAACTGCGGGAGATTGGCGGGGAAGCCCGCTGGGTTTCGTCCGAAAGACAGTATGCCGATGGCCTCACCAAGGACACCGCGACCCAGCTCCTGGCGGACCGCTTGCGTACCCACATGCACAAGATTGTGGCGGATGATACCTACCAGGCGTCCAGGAAGAAGACGGCCGTTGACCGTCAGAGAAGTGCGCAGCAGTTTGCGCAGCCGAAGGCCGGATGGACCGGCCGAGCCGCAGCATTCGCTGCAGCCGCCCTGACCGTGGCGAGCCAACCTGCTCCCACCGAAGCCCATCGCGATGACGACGTCTCTGGGGCACTAACCTACTACGTCCCCCAGACCTACAGCGACTACCGCGAGGCCGGCTACTACATCTTCCTGCCCATCCTGGTCATCATCTTCTTTATCTACGTGCACCCGATCTCGGCGATCCAACGGCTCATAACCTTCACCTGGTGGACTCGGACCACCCGGATCACCAGTGACGCGGCGACCCAGACCGAGGACACCGCGCCAGCAACCACCTTCACGGAGACCCGGAACCGGTGGTGCCAGACGGACAGTGCCCTCTTGTACAGCCCTGTCCAAACTGCCGAAGGGTTAGCCTTGGATCTTCAGCTGGTAAGGGCCTACAACCAGCGACTTGCAGCAGCTGTTCATCGCCAGCAACAGGCCCTCAACTACCACACGGAGTACCGGCT